GTCCAGTTTCTACCGCTTCAGTTCACCAGTAAAATCGAGCATGAAGTTCTGGATGGTGGAGCAGTCACAAAAGCGGTATATGAAATCATTCACATCCATGTTCGTAGTGTTTAACACAGGTTGTCCGATCTCATCTCTAGGATTGTAGCAAAAGACCACTTTACTCCAAACCCCGGGGTGGTATAGTACCGATCTCTATGGCATGTTGTATACCTTAAGGAATCAATCCATTTGTCCACGCCATAGAGGTTTCTCCTCACATACCCCTAGGTGTGAACTCCGATGTTCCATTTCTTCCTACAAAGACTAACAGGAGGGAGAGCTGAAATCGTTGCAGCTATTGAAACCATCTCTTCCGTAACATTGTCCAGTTTCTACCGCTTCAGTTCACCAGTAAAATCCAGCATGAAGTTCTGGATGGTGGAGCTATCACGAAAGCAATATATGAAATTATTCACATCCATGTTCGTAGTGTTTAACATAGGTTGTTCGATCTCATCTCTAGGATTGTAGCAAAAGACCACTTTACTCCAAACCCGGTGGTAAAGTAACGATCTCGACTGATCTTTCAGTAAGTAGAACCGGGAATGCAATGCCATCTGGATCGATCTTGAATGTAAACGAAGGATCTGCTCCTGAAGCTTATCTTATCCAAGCTTTGCTCTAGGGAGCCAATAGTGTATATATAGGATGATCAAAGCTTTGCTAGTATATGTTAGAATTCAAATTATCTTTCAAAATAATATTGTCATTGTTAAAAAGCACTATAGCGTTGGGGTCCGAAGTAAGGAAGTTCAAGTTGGATGCCCAGACTTTGTTCTTCAAGCCTGTGAGGAGGACAAGGTTGACAACTTGGGCCAGCTTGAGCTCAGAATTGGAGCATTGGCAACAGGTTCGCCCTATTGGCTACCTAAACTATTGTTTTCTTGGACACCAAATACTAGATGCCCATGCAGTACATGCGAGAGTTACTTGGGTGAAGAAGCGCAGCTCAAGTTTCAGAAAGAGATTGTCGTCGCAAGAGTGTCATATGCAACACAAACCTTGGCCGAAAAGGGAAATGGAAGAAAAAAAGCAGGCAACCAGAGAGTCGTAAGCCAAGCCATACCTCGTCTTCTTCTTGCAGACATGGAACTCTGCAACATAGCTTATGTAGCTGTTGCAATATGACTTACCCTGCAAAGTATTGGATACGGTTGTCTTTTTATTCCCTCTCGAGTGACCAGCTATATTAATCAGTAAAATCGTATTGAAGAGTGAGTGCATTCCGCTACTCACCGGTAGTTGCATAAGATGCGCTGCAGAGTTCATGTTTGCAAGAAGAAGAAGAAGAAGCATGGCTCGACTCATGGCTCTCCGGTCGTCTGCTTTTTGTCTTCTCATTCCCTCCGATGCCCACGTTTGTGTTGCATATGGCGCACTCTTAGGAGGGCAATCTGTTTCTGGAGACCAGACCATGGTGTCCGGAGGTGGCAAATTCGAGCTGGGCTTCTCCTGCCCCAGTCTCTGAGAAAACGGTAGTGTGGGTGGCCAAAAAGGGAGAAACCCGTGGCCAATGCTTCATCTTCTGAGCTCAAGCTCGGTGAAGACGGCAACCTCGTCTTAAACCAGTCGACCGGAGAGGTCTTCGCTGCAATGCCAGAGACGAGATCTGTGTAGCTACACCGATACTACAAACATGGATGTTAATAATTTAACCTACCGCTCGAACAAGCTCGACAGGTCGAACCCCGACGACAAGGAGGAGATGAGCTCGAACGCGTTATAGAACCTCGGTGTCCCCTGCTTCTGCTCCTCTTCCACTGCCGCCGGCTCCGCCTGCGGCGGCGGAGGGACGGGGTTGGGATCCTTGTGGTGAGTACCCTTTTTGAGCCACGGGTGCTGCATGATGGCCGGGATTGAGATGCGCTTCTCCGGGTCGGCGACGAGGAGGCCGGATAAGAGGCGACAAGCGTCGCCAGAGAACCATGGCGGGATCTGGTACTCGGCCTTGAGCACTTTGCGGTACATACGCACCAAGTTCTCGTCTTGGAAGGGAAGGAATCCGGCGAGGAGGACGTAGAGGATGACGCCGCAGGACCAGATGTCGGCCAAGACAGCTCCACCGTTCCCATCCAAAATGAAATAATTTTTTTCATCAAAACATTAAATTGTTATAAAAAATAAATATTAACCAACATAAACAGTAGAATAATAAATTAATCATAAAATAAGATATTAAATTTTTTACATAAAAAATTTAATACGGAAAAAATCACGGGACTATAGTTCACTTTAAACTTTCACTATCACCAATAATGATAACATGTTATTAGCATATATGAACTTGTTTTTATTAGTACCACCGACTTGATCATCGGTATGATTTAAGATGAAACTATAATTTATTTATGAAGCATATACTGACTTGTTTTGCAAGCAGAACATCACTGCAGCTGACCATGAGAATGTGGAAACTCAATCCCAGGAATCAGTGTCATCATCAGATGATCAGCCATCTAAGAAGCAAAAGACAGATATAGCAAATCCAAGCAGCAAATTATCCCAGGGGCTTAATAAAGTTCTTCCATCTAATGAAGAGCCAGTGAAAGCTAGAAAGGGTAGCGCATTAAAGAAACTCTCTTTGTGGGATGAGAAAGCGAAGAAAGAAGTCCAAGATCCATCTTTATCTAATAAGCATCCCTCCCATGAGCAACAACCAAGTAACATGACATCAAATAATTCGAAACCTCACATTTCTGCTAGTATTTCATCTTCCGAGGATGTGACAGTATCTGGGCACAGTGGAGCTACAACAAGGTTCTCTTCAAGACCTGAGGTAATTATTTGCCACTAGGTTTTGAGGGTCTCACCATCCACATATCAGATATAATCATCCAACGTACATCAGAGGCTTACTGACTTGATTAAACTATTTTGATTTCACTCAGGAAACAGCCTCATCATCATCGTCATCATCAGCACTTGCCAAGTCGACGAACCGCCTAAACCTTTTGAAGGAACGTCGTGCACAACTTGTAAACGACCTACAGGTTGCACGGAATAGCCTTGGACCAGGTTCAGATGGTCCTCCCCCGAGAACCAACTCCAGATGACTATGAATCCCGAAGGTGATTCTTTGGATACCTGAGTGCATTTGTGCTGCTTCCAGAGTTATCGATGTCTGGCATGGCGGCCACCATGATTGCTCACTTCTAGTTGGTGAATTTAATTGGAACGTGACAGAGTTTTGGCACTTTGTACAGTTAAACACTTGCATTTATCTCTGCTTCTGAGAAATTGCTGGTAGTGATTTTAGGAAGTTTGTAAAACATGTTCGAAGACGATAATAGATTTATTTGAGTAGGCTTTTTTCATATTTGTCATCGTTCTAGGGGCTCAAATGCTTTTTCTGATTGATTCTGCTTAATATACAAAACGCCATACACTGCGGTTTTGCTGCTCTTCATGAAACATGAGTTGATGAAGCATCCAAATGATGGCATAGATCAAGCACAAACCAGGAAATGGGTGGTAAGCTGACACCTAAGACTCCCTCCTGTTGCTCAACAACTTCTCCCATGCTCGGCCTGCGGCACTCCACGTCCTGAATGCACCAACAAGCTATCCTGCACGCCCGACCGAGCTCCTTCTCGTCTGCGTTCGCCTTCAGCTTCGGATCCAGCAAGCTTAGAGTTGTCGCCTTCATGCAATTTGATTGCGGTCCAGAGAGGGCAATAGACGAAATCCAAAGTCTTCGCATCTCTCCGTGTTTCGCCCGCCGGAGACCAATCTCGAAGCTGTAAACGTCTGCTTTGGGGGTGATGGTGACGGAGCTGTGATTCATTCTCAAATTCAACTTCAGGATCAATGACTATCTTACTATTACGATGTAGATAATGCTCCAAATTTTTAAATAAAAATTACTATTCTAAACCAGATGATGTGTTGGATTATTCTACTCAGTTTAAAAGCATTAGATAAAATCTTACCATGCTACATTTACAAATATAATCATACCCTTAAAGCATCATTATATATAATAAAATATTCATTATGGTATAGTAAGAATATAGGTTGATATCAATATTCTTTTTGACTCTTTAAAATTTTATTGAGAATAATTTGTTATATATGTATGATATACTAATAATTGACCATGCAATTGAATTATCACAACATGATAACTTGGTCAACTATTTCTCAATATACTAGATGTATCAAATAAGGTGGGTGTAAATCCACATTAATCATGTGATCAATATATATATATGTATGTATATATATATATGTATGTATATATATATATATATATGTATGTATGTATATATATGTATATATACATATATATATGTATATATACATGTATATATATGTATATAAAGAAGATAGTGCAAGTTCCCATCAATCATGTGACTAGTTCATAAATATAAAGACATCTTTAAAATTTTATAAATATATTAGATTGACTTGGTCGATCGTTTATGAATATGAAAATACTTTTAAAGATTTATAATATATTAGATTGACTTACAAATCATTTCTCAAGTTACTATATATATCCAAGAAAATGGGTTCTAGTCCATATCAATCATATGACCCGTTCATAAATATGAAAATATTTTTAAAGATTTATAACATATTAGATTGATTTAGTAAATCATTCCTTAAGATATTATATATATATATATATATATATATATATATATATATATATATATATATATATATATAAAAGAAGGTGGGTGCAAGTCTCATGTGACCAATTTATAAATATGAAAATATCTTTAAAAATTTATCATATTAGATTGACTTGATCAATCATTTCGTAAAATGCTATATATATTCAAGAAGGTGGATTCAGGTCCATCAATCATGTGACCCGTTTATAAATATGAAAATATCTTTAAAAATTTACAACATGTTAGATTGACTTTGTCAATCATTTTTTCTCATGATGCTATATATATTCAACAAGGTGGGTTTAAGTTCCATCAATCATGTGACCCATTTATAAATATGAAAATATCTTTAAAATTTTACAACATATTAAATTGACTTGACAAATCATTCCTTAAGATATTATATATATTCAAGAAGTTAGGTTCTAGTCCCCATCAATTATGTGACCCGTTTATAAAAATAAAAATATTTTTAAAATTTTATAATATATTAGATTGACTTGGTAAATCATTCCTTAAGATATTATATATATCCAAGAAAGTGGATGCAAATCTCATTAATTATGTAATCAATTTATAAATATGAAGATATCTTTAAAAATTTACAACATATTAGATTGACTTGGTCAATCATTTCTGAAGATATTTTATATATATTCAAGAAGATGGGTTCAAGAAGATATTATATATATATTCAAAAACATCTTTAAAGATTTATAATATATTAGATTGACTTGATAAATCATTAATTATATATATATATATATATATATATATATATATATATATATATATATATCCAAGAAGGTGGGTGCTACTCCCCATCATGACCCATTCATAAAAATAAAGATATCTTTAAAAAATTATAATATATTAGATTGACTTAGTAAATTATTTTTAAAGATATTATATATATTCAAAAAGGTGAGGGCAGATCTCTATCTCTCATCTGATCAGTTCATAAATATAAGATATCTTTAAAATTTTACAACATATTAGATTGAGTCAATAAATCATTCCTTAAGATACATACATATATATATATATATATATATATATATATTGAATTTGGCTAAAAGCCATGTGAAATTGACCCAGAGAACTCAAGAGATTTTGTCTGTCGTTTGTTTCAGAGATGTTAAGTCTCACTTGTTTGATAGTGTAAGACTTTGTTTTTGACTCTTTCATTTCTTCTTTAAAGAAGAATAACATCTAACAAAATTTATTTATGAATATCTAATATTAAGAGAAATAATCATTGACGTCTTGATTAATCCTACATGATCCGATGTGATTGAGGTGGAAATAATGAGCTTTCGAGATATCACTTACATAAAGACTTTTTGACGCTTGAATTATTTAACCCAAGTCTATTTTTAGGTCAGACATTTTGGATTTTTGTGTGAAATATGATTTGTCAAATTATATGATTAGTTGAAATTCACGAGGAGAGAGATATCACCATCGAAATAGATGTCAAAGATGAAGCATTCCAAGGTCGACTGGTTACCCTGCTTTGTCTGTGTTGCAGAGATTCACCATGTCTGCCAGGAGAAGACACATGGCTCAGCTTCTTGCTCTCTGCTCGTCTGAATTCTTTCTTCTCTTTACCTTCAGCGCCCATGCTGGTGCTGCAGATGACAGCCTCTTTCGAGGCCAGTCTCTCTCTGGAGGTCAGACCATGGTCTCCAGAGGTGGCAAGGTCGAGCTGGGTTTCTTCGCCCCAGGTAACTCTTCCAAGTACTACATAGGCATCTGGTACAAGGTGTCCAAGCAACCAGTAGTTTGGGTAGCCAACAGGGAGAAACCTGTTGCCAGTGCTTCATCTTCAGAGCTCACGCTCGCCGAAGATGGCAACCTTGTCCTCCGCCTCAAAGACTCGAAGAAACGGATTTGGTCATCCAATTCCTCGAGCTCCCTTGCTTCCAACTCCACTGTCGCAGTGCTTCTTGATGATGGTAATCTTGTTCTTAAAGATAATATAACTTCTGACACCTTGTGGCAGAGCTTTGATCATCCTACCAACGCATGGCTCCCTGGAGCAAAGCTCGGATACAACAAGTTGACAGGACAAGATTGGTTCCTCACTTCGTGGAGGAACCCAGAAGACCCTTCACCGGGAATGTTTACTATGGAGTTCGATCCGAATGGCAGCGACCAGTTCTACCTTGTGAGAGATCGGAGACATCGCTACGCGACCTCCGGGCTTTGGAATGGAGACACGTTTACAGGCATCCCAGAGATAAAATCGAACCACTTCGTTGACTACAGCCAGGTTACCAACACGAACGTGAACGAGTTCAGCTACCGCGTCCGTGACACCGCCTACACACACTACCTACTGATAGATTTCACCGGTGAACTGAGGAGGCAGAGATGGGATAATGACGCCAAAGTGATGTTGCAGTTCTTCTCGCTTCCGAGGGATCCATGTGATGTGGATGGTCGCTGTGGGCCGTTCGGTAGCTGCAACAACTTCACCACCGCTCCCTGTCAATGTTTCCAGGGATTCAACCCACGGTCTTCGAATGAATGGGCCCTGGGAGATTACACCGGAGGGTGCGTCCGAAGAACTCCTCTACGCTGTGGGGAAAGAGATGGATTCCTCGAGTTACCCAACACGCAGCCCCCCGCCAACCCCGTGCGCATGTCAACCATCGGCGGTCGAGAAGAGTGTCGAACTGCTTGCTTGCGGAATTGTTCTTGTACTGCTTATGCTTATCAATCCGAGTGTTCGATTTGGCAGGGCGACCTTCTCAACCTCAAATCTTTGGGTTCGAGCAACGGAGCAGAATCAGGAGCTATTTATCTTCGTGTTGACGCTTCAGAATTGGCAGATAATTATCACAAGGACAGGAAAAAGACGGCGACGATTGTCGTCGGTGCAGTGTCAGGTGTTGCTGTTATCGCTGTCGTCGTCTTGCTTTTGGCCTTGAGATACCGCAAGGGGGCAACCGTCGGAGCTTCAGGAGGCGTTCAAGGTCCTATAATTGCATTCGACTACAAGCTCATAAGAAAAGCCACCAAGGGCTTCTCCGAGAAACTCGGGCGAGGAAGCTTCGGGTCGGTGTTCAAGGGAGAGATACCGGACTCAGGCGCCATAGCGGTGAAGAGACTGGAGAGCATAAGGCAGGGGGAGAAGCAGTTCAGGATGGAAGTGAGCACCATCGGGACGATTCACCATGTCAATCTGGTCCGTCTCCGTGGCTTCTGCTGCGAAGGTGACAAGAGGCTGCTCGTCTACGACTACATGCCTATGGGCTCATTGGATTCCGTTCTGTTCGCCGATGACCGCGAAGCTTTGGACTGGAAGAAAAGGTACCGGATCGCGCTGGGGATCGCAAGAGGCTTAGCGTATCTTCACGAGAGGTGCAGGGAATGCATCATGCACTGCGACATCAAGCCGGAGAACATACTTCTCGACATGGATATGTGTCCAAAGATCGCCGACTTCGGCATGGCCAA